GTCGTTGCCCATCCCTGAGTTTTGGGATTTTGTCACCTCGGCCATGATTTCAGGCCTGTCGTCCTGCGTTCTGGCGCGTGGACGACGCGGTGAGCTTCCCGTTTCAAGACGTGGGCCGTTTGCGGGCCCTTCGTCCTGGGGACATCGTCGGCCATACCTGAGTGTTTCACTTCTAGGCTTTCGGGGCCAGGACGATGTGCTCTCTCAGCTAGGCCTGAGCCCTTCGCTGATACAAAATACAATGGAGTGCCTGAGTTTGTCGCTCGTAGGCTGCAAATGCAAGGGGCCATGTCGGCCAGACCTGAGCCTTTCGCTCTAAGGTGGCCGACGAGGGCACCTGCTAATGTTTTACTTTGAATTTCCAGAGAAAATCAGAACGTGATTTTATTCATAAGTGGCTCGAGGCCGAGGGTGGCGTTCAATCAGTAACCCGTTAAGGGGTGAGGGCTTCGCCGTCTGCACCTCCTTCGGATTACTGATAAAACTTCACCAGATGGTGTACATTCCATGTTCGTGGTACATTGGACCCATTCGGGCGTTTAAGCTTGTAGGTGCCGGGTTTGACCACGACACTGACGATGTAGGGCCCTTCGTACTTCAATGCTAGCTTGCCACCCTCTGTCGGCTGGCTTGCTTCCCTTCGGCGGAGGACGTAGTCCCCCACCTGAAATTCCCGGGAACGTACCTTGGCGTCATAGTATGATTTCACTTGACGTCGGTAGTTCTCTGCTCGGACGTAAGCTTGCTCACGCCTCTCATCAACCAGGTGTAGGTCAATCTTCATGTTCTCTTCGTTGGTGTCAGGCTCATATTGCTCCACTCGTCGGCTGGGGATGGCTACCTCCGTGGGCGCCTTCGCCTCAAAGCCGTAGCACAGGGCGAAAGGTGTTTCACCTGTCGCCCTCCTCGGCGTGGTTCTGTAGCACCACAGGATGTTGGGGAGCTCGTCGACCCAACTACCTCCTGCGGCCTGGAGGTTCTTCTTCAGCCCCTCCATTATCGTTCTGTTGGCGTTCTCGACCTGCCCGTTGCCCTGAGGATAGGCAACGGAGGAGAAACGGTGCCTCACCCCAAACTCCCAGAGGAGCTCCTGGAAAGGGGCTGCCTCGAATTGGGTGCCGTTGTCTGATATAATCTCCTGGGGGACGCCAAAGCGTGTAATGATGTTCTTGTAAACAAATCTTTGGCATCTAGCCCCCGTGATGCTGGCCAAGGGTTCCGCCTCGACCCACTTGGTGAAGTAGTCGACGACGACGATGATGTAACGGTTATTCCCGGCGGCTCTGGGCAGGGGGCCGACCAGGTCAATCCCCCATCTGGAGAATGGAATTGCGGTGCTGACAGGGGCATAGTTGACAGCTGGCCGACCAGGGGCCTTCTGAAGTACCTGACATGTGGTGCACTTCCTGGCCAGGTCAGCGCAGTCCCGTGCCATCGTCGGCCAGAAGAAGCCCTGGACGACGAGACGCCGGGACATGCTGAAAGGACCCTGGTGCGAGGAGCAGACGCCACAGTGAATTTCTTCCATGGCGGTGTCGGCCTCGTCCTGGTGCAGGCATCGGAGGAGAGTGCCATTGTAGGACCGTTTGTAGAGTTTGCCATCTTCTATGGTGTAGCTTGGGGCCCTGAGTTTGGCAAGTTTGGCCCTCTCCTCGTCCTGGGGCAGCTCCCCCGTGGTGATGAAGGTGGCGATGTCGGAGATCCAGTCCTCTGGTCGCTGTTGGACACACAAGACGGGGCTGGCATGAATGCTGGACATGCTCAACTCCTCGATCTTGGCCAACTGGGAGATGTGCTCCGAGGTGTCCGAGCTGAGCTTGGAGAGGATGTCGGCTTCGGCGTTCTCGGCCCTTGGGATCTGGGTGATCTCATGGGTTTCAAACGCTTTCAGCAATTCCTCCGCCGCTTGTTTGTACTGCTTCAGAATGAATTTGTAACCCCTATAACTACTCCCAAGGGGAGTATTTATAGAGAAAATTAGGGTTGGGCTCCCAGGCCTTGGGCCTGGGAGGCCCATTTACAACTGGACCGCTACTGGGCCGAATACAAAGCCTCTAATGGGCTGTACAAATGAGTAAGTATAGAATCCGATTCTGGGAGGTCTTCGTGGCCGACGAGGGCGTGGCCGACGAGGGCACGGCCGACGAGGGCACGGCCGACGAGGGCACCCGGGTTCCTTGGACTCAGGACCATAATCCGAGTTGGCTTCTTCTCCGCCGACGGGGGCGTCTTGGCCGACGAGGGCGCCACTCTGTTGTCTTGTGCTTTCTGTTCTTCCGAGTATGTGGGTCCTGGGGCTCAGACCCATATACTCCATCAGGAGTCCCCCACTCTCTAAGCTGAGACGTAGGCGAAGTGAAGGAGAGTAGATTTCTGTGCTTTGTGCTTTTGGCCGACGCGGGCATTTCCAGGCCGTTAGCCGTTGCGGTATTGGCGCTGTTTCCATTTTGGTGATCCTGTTATGGGCTTTGGCCGTTACCTTCTCCTCGCTGTGGGCGGGGAGGCCGTCATTTCCTTGACGTGTTCGTTTGAGGACGATGAGTGTCTTGTTCCGATGTCGGCCGTTGAAGGCGCGCTTTCCCTTTCCTGGACGTTGGTGGTTGAAGTTTATGTTTGGGCCGGTGAGGTTGTTCCTTGCTTTGAGGACGATGGCGTCCTTTCCTTTGGGTGGCCGATGAGGGTGCTCGCGCACTCCTTTTGGCCGTTGCTGGTTGGCCTTCGTGTTCTTGGCCGAAGGGCCCGTCAAAATTAATTGTTGGCGGAGGACGATGAGTGTCCTTGCCTCTAGTGGCTTGTTGGCCGTCGCTAATGACATTTTGGGCCTTTGGCCGATGAGGTTCCGTTGTGCTGTGTGGACGATGTGGCCATGTTTTGTGGTTACCTTGTTTATACTCTTTGTTTCGTTGAGGCCGGTGTAGTCCCCCAGTCCCCCACTGCTTCAGGCCGAGGAGTGCGAGGGGTGAAGGAGTTGCTTGAGTCCCTGGCCGAAGCGGCATCTCCGTAGTCCCCCTGAATCCAACTCTCATGGCGATTTTCTGGCCAAGGTAACCCTGTGGGAGAACCCTCGTGCGCAGATCGCTTGTAGAGAGTTATCATCAAGGGTTATTACGAGGAGCCGAAGGCTGTGGGCTATTTGTCCCCTTTGTTCTGTGGCCGTTACGTTCCTGGCCGTTGCCATCTTCTTATTGTTTGGCATTTGTGTTCTTGGCGAGTAAGTGGGACGTTGTGGGCGCTTGCTGGCAGTTGTAAAGCCGCTGAGCGTGTGTAGGCCGTAGAGTCTGATTTGCCGGTGGGCCGTTGATATGGGTTGGTCCTGACCCGTTGGTGACGTGGTGGCCTCCCAGTGGTGGCCGTTGATGTGGCCATTGGGAGAGTGCCACGTGTAGTGACCGTTGGTGGGGGGGGGGGGGGGGGGGTCTATAAATACCCCTTCCCCTCCGACGAGGAATCACATTTGCATTCTGAATTTGTCGAAGTGCTGGCCGATTTTCTAGAGAGATAAACTCCCAAGCCTGTTCTTCGTTGTTCTTCGTTGTTCGAGGTTAGTGTTCATCACGATCTTCCTCGCTTTTCATACTTTGCTTCCTAGGTAGTTGATCTAGTGTTAGGCGTTTAAACACCTTTAGATCTTAAGTTGTTCTCCCTAAGCCCGTAGTAGTAGTAATGAAGAGCTTGAACGAGGACTACTACCCCTACGACGACCAGCCCTCCACGAGGTCGCTTGACTACGAGGTGCTCGAGGAGTTTGAAGAGGAGATAGAACGTTTGAGCCCCTACAAATCCGGAGAGCTGATGGACGAGGAGGGCGAGGACGAGGAGTCCGCCTCCTCTTCAGAGGGTGAGGACGTAGGCGCGTCCCGAGCGGTGGACGGGGCATCCACTTCTGCTGTCGTTCCGTGCCCGAGGCCGGTGTCTGCCGTGAAGGGAGCAGCTAAGCCGAAGAGGGTGAGGAGGCCGAAGAATGGGTCGGGCCTCTCCTACTTGGACCTCACCAACATATTCCTGATCAAGCCGGAGAGCAGTGCGGCCAACTATCTTGTCGCCCAGATGTACGTGGGGCCGTTCGGGCGGGTTAGGGCACCCAGGCCGACGGACCATGTTCTACTTCCGCCACCGGGATACTTTGGAGTATACCCGATGAGTTTTGCTAAGGGGTTGAGGTTCCCCCTTCACCCTTTCGTCATTGAGTATCTGGACATGGTGGGGCTTCCTCCGGCCTTGCTGACGCCGAACAGTTATTCCTTGATGGTGGGCTTTTTACTTCGGTGTGAGGAGTTGGGCTTCAGGCCGACCACGGCCTTATTCATGAACTTGTACCAGATCGGCCGAGGAAGCCACAAGAACTGTGCGGCCTACGCTACTCTTCAACAGCTGCCGAGGAAGAGGAGCTTCACGGATTTGCCCACGTCCATTCATGGGTGGAAGAGCAAGTTCGTGTTTGTGTCCATTGGTGAGAGTGGCACCGAGTTCCCCTCTCTCGGCCATACCGGGAGGTTCAATCTCCATGACCCGCCGAAGAGCTCTATTTTGGACGCTCAGGTGGAGGCTTTCTTGGGAGGGGGGCCGAGGAGCGTGAAAGATTACGTCACTGAGTACAAGATGACCGCCCTCGGCTTCTTCAGATATCACCTGTATGGGGATAAGGAGGATGACCTCCAAGTCTGGCCGAGGATGACCACCACCTTTGAGGAGGCCGATGGCCCGGATTTGGGCATTCCTGCTGAGGCCGATGGTAATTTTTTCTTCGGCTTTCTGTCTTTATGTTTTGTCCTTTGCCTTACTAATCTGTTTGTTTTTCCTTTGTAGACTTTGTCATGGACCGACGTTCCATAATGGCTGTTGCCAAGGCCAAGGCGGCCGAGGAGCTGGCTGCCAAGGCGGCCGAGGCGGCCCGACGTGCCGCTGCTGGTGGGAGCGGGGCTACTGCTGATGCGGCCCCAAAGCCTGCCCCATCAAAGAAAAAGAGACCGGCCACTGACGGCCAGAAAAAGTTGACTGAGGCCGGCGTGAGCGTCTCTAAGAAGACGAAGAGGGCTCCTTCCCCTTCTCCGGCTAGTGAGGCCGGTACTCTTACTGTCCCCAGCGTGGGCGATGGTGGTCCCGTCGTGGACCTTACTGTTGCTGACGATGCTGCCCCAGCGCTTCCTCTCGTCCAGGAACCACGGACGCAGAGGGCCGGCAAGGAGGTTGCCGGTGCCACCTATCAGAAGGTGATAGAGTACCCCGTCGGCGGGGGCGTGTTTAATGATCTCGTCCCCGGCCACGTCGTCCTGGCCAAGGCCATGCCGGCCAAAGATCGGGCTCACTTGAAGAAGCTCGAGGACCCGAAGATTTATGAGGGCGGTATGGACCTCCTCGTCCAAGTAAGTGACTGTCCTTATATTTGTGTCTCTCTTCGTCTGTGTAGAGTTTTTTGCCTGACCTTTGTTTTTCTTCTGCAGAGTGCCTTCATGCTTATGGAAAGCCATAAGAGGCAGTACTGGGAGATAGCTCGCCTGCAAGCACTGGAGCAGAAGGCTGCCTCGGCCGACGAGGCGGTAGCTTGCCTTGACCGGCTCCGGGAGGATGCCAAGGCGCTGCAGGCCAAAGCTGATGAAGCCGCCGCAGCCAGGGACGATGCCCTGGCCAAGCTCGAGGAGAGCAAAAGGGAGCTCGAGGAGTCCCACAGGGCACTTGAGGCCGAGAGGCGCAGGAGCGAGGAGGCCGCCAAGGCGAAGGCTGAGGCCGAGGCCGCCGTCGTGAAGGCTGCCGATGAGGCCGTCGAGAAGTTCCTGGCCGAGGGGTGGAAGGCCGATGAGAGGCTCCCCTGGTGCTACGAAGTGGTGGCCGCCAGGCTTGAGAATTGGGGGATGAACTCCCCTGTCGGCCGGGAGTATTTCAGCCGGGAGATGTCCGTTTATTACAACCTGGGCTAGGAGCGGATGCAAAGGCTCCTGTGTCGGCGGCTATCCCGGGCGTTGAAGGCCATGAATTACACGTCTGGGTGGGCTAGACGGAACCTGAAGCTGCCAAAGCTGATGAAGGATCCAAAAGAGCAGGCCAAGCTTCCGCTGTCGGAGCGAGAGTCCCCCATAGAAAGCTCCGGCCTCGGCGAGCCGGACTATACTGAATTCGACTTCTTAGATGATGCCACCAGCGCCGCTGCCGGCCAAGAAGCTGAGGCCGATGAGGCCGACGAGGAGGGAGCCGACGAGGTTGAAGAGCCCGCCGCGGATGAAGGTGCCCCGGAGGCTTGATCGGCTATTCACTACTGTAATTAGCTTTTCATTTGTTGCCAGATTATGTAACGGCCGAAGTGCCCCCCATTGTAATGAATTAATTGAATGAAAGAATTTTTGTCATCCTTCTCGGCTTTGAATCCATTGTATGCTTGTTTGCCTTTTGTCATTTCAATTCTGTAAATTGTCAGTGTCAAGTCATAACTTGGGTCACCCGCGAGTGTCCGCTACGTCCGTAAGGTTGGCCTTCCTGTCCAGTAGTCTGGTCGTCCTCTTTGCTTTACTATCATAACACTTAGGATTTTGTTTCAAAAATTTCCCAAGTGTTTTTGGGTCCATGTAGCTGCTGTCTTTACGGCCTAGTGGCTTGATCGGCTTGGACGTAGTTTCATAATACTTAGGAATTTCTTCAAAAATTTTCTAAGTGTTTTGGGATCCACTTAGGTGCTTTCCTTTCGGCCTGGTGGCCTTGTCGGCTTGACCGGTGTTCCTTTGCTATCATAACACTTAGGATTTTTTCAAAAAATTTCCTAAGTGTTTTTGATTCCTTTTAGGTGGTTCCCTTTTTAGCCTTGACCGTAGTGTCTGTTCCGTCCAGGCGTTGGCGTCCTCATCGTCTTGGCCTTGGATTCATCCCAGGTGTTTTGGCCAGGGTCGTTGTCGGCTTGTATCCCTGTGTTCTGGCCGATAAGGGCACCTTCACCATAGTCTTGTGGACTTTGAATTTTTCACAAGTACACATGTAGAGGTGTAGGTAGCTAACGGCTTTGTAGTATACTGGTACCCGCTTCGGCTAGAATTCCTTCATTTGAGTACTTATATAATTTCCTAAGTATAAATGTTAGGCATTTACTTCTTCGCGGTGCCACTGCCGGCCAAGGTCTGGCTTGTGGCCGATGAGGGTGCTGGATAAGGAATAGCTTGTCCAAGGAGATGGTCCTGCCTTCGTCGGCTGGCCATGGTTCCAGTGCCTGCGTCGGCCATCCGAGGTGCTGTGGCAAGTAGAGGTTGTTTCTTGGTTACTTGATCCTTTCGCGGGTGTGATAAGTGCCCGCTTCGTCCTGGTCATCCTTAGGATTGCGATGCTTTGTTTCATACCAAACGTTGGTGCCTCAAAGGACTATGGCCGATGAAGGTCACCTCTCGCGTGTCACCCAACCGATGTGGTTAGGGTTTTAAAGGCATGTGTATCGGCCTTGATTGTTCCCTCGTAGTGTGTGGACGTGTCGTCCTTGTTACCTGTCAGTGGTACTACACTTGTGTTTAACTGATATGTACTTGGCCTAGTTGGGCCTGAGTTGTGGGGATTTTATTTTTTCATTGCTCAAGGCCGGCAAGTGTGCGCGGCCGTCGGCTTCCCTTTTTTTCCCTTGTATATTTTTTTTTTTCGTTTCGGGGGTATCCTTCTTTCAGGCTTCGGCCGAAGGGTGTGCTCGTCCTTCGGCCGGTTCGGACTTCGTTTATAACGTCCGTGATCTCAGGGCGGGTCCCGTCGCCTATTTATGACGCGGGCTAGACTTTTGGTTGGTTTCCAACGGCTGTCGTTGCCCATCCCTGAGTTTTGGGATTTTGTCACCTCGGCCATGATTTCAGGCCTGTCGTCCTGCGATCCGGCGCGTGGACGACGCGGTGAGCTTCCCGTTTCAAGACGTGGGCCGTTTGCGGGCCCCTCGTCCTGGGGACATCGTCGGCCATACCTGAGCGTTTCACTTCTAGGCTTACGGGGCCAGGACGATGTTCTCTCTCAGCTAGGCCTGAGCCCTTTGCTGATACAAAATACAATGGAGTGCCTGAGCTTGTCGCTCGTAGGCTGCAAATGCAAGGGGCCATGTCGGCCAGACCTGAGCCTTTCGCTCTAAGGTGGCCGACGAGGGCTCCTGCTAATGTTTGACTTTAAATTCCAGAAAAAATCAGAACATGATTTTATTCATAAGTGGCTCGAGGCCGAGGGTGGCGTTCAATCAGTAACCCGTTAAGGGGTGAGGGCTTCGCCGTCTGCACCTCCTTCGGATTACTGATAAAACTTCACCAGATGGTGTACATTCCACGTTCGTGGTACATTGGACCCATTCGGGCGTTTAAGCTTGTAGGTGCCGGGTTTGACCACGGCACTGACGATGTAGGGCCCTTCTTACTTCAATGCTAACTTGCCACCCTCTGTCGGCTGGCTTGCTTCCCTTCGGCGGAGGACGTAGTCCCCCACCTGAAATTCCCGGGAACGTACCTTGGCGTCATAGTATGATTTTACTTGACGCCGGTAGTTCTCCGCTCGGACGTAAGCTTGTTCACGCCTCTCATCAACCAGGTGTAGGTCAATCTTCATGTTCTCTTCGTTGGTGTCAAGCTCATATTGTTCCACCCGTCGGCTGGGGATGGCAACTTCCGTAGGCGCCTTTGCTTCAAAGCCGTAGCACAGGGCGAAAGGCGTTTCACCCGTCGCCCTCCTCGGCGTGGTTCTGTAGCACCACAGGATGTTGGGGAGCTCGTCGACCCAACTACCTCCTGCGGTCTGGAGTTTCTTCTTCAGCCCCTCCATTATTGTTCTGTTGGCGTTCTCGACCTGCCCGTTGCCCTGAGGATAGGCAACGGAGGAGAAACGGTGCCTCACCCTAAACTCCCGGAGGAGCTCCTGGAAAGGGGCTGCCTCGAATTGGGTGCCGTTGTCTGATATAATCTCCTGGGGGACGCCAAAGCGTGTAATGATGCTCTTGTAAACAAATCTTTGGCATCTGGCCCCCGTGATGCTGGCCAAGGGTTCCGCCTCGACCCACTTGGTGAAGTAGTCGACGGCGACGATGATGTAGCGGTTATTCCCGGCGGCTCTGGGCAGGGGGCCGACCAGGTCAATCCCCCATCTGGAGAATGGAATTGCGGTGCTGACAGGGGCATAATTGACAGCTGGCCGACCAGGGGCCTTCTGGAGTACCTGGCATGTGGTGCATTTCCTGGCCAGGTCAGCGCAGTCGCGTGCCATCGTCGGCCAGAAGAAACCCTGAACGACGAGACGCCGGGACATGCTGAAAGGGCCCTGGTGTGAGGAGCAGACGCCGCAATGAACTTCTTCCATGGCTGTGTCGGCCTCGTCCTGGTGCAGGCACCGGAGGAGAGTGCCATTATAGGACCGTTTGTAGAGTTTGCCATCTTCGATGGTGTAGCTTGGGGCCCTGAGTTTGGCGAGTTTGGCCCTCTCCTCGTCCGGGGGCAACTCCCCCGTTGTGATGAAGGTGGCGATGTCGGAGATCCAGTCCTCTGGTCGCTGTTGGACGCACAAGACGGGGCTGACATGGATGCTGGACATGCTCAACTCCTCGATCTTGGCCAACTGGGAGATGTGCTCCGGGGTGTCCGAGCTGAGCTTGGAGAGGATGTCGGCTTCGGCGTTCTCGGCCCTTGGGATCTGAGTGATCTCGTGGGTTTCAAACGCTTCAGCAATTCCTCCGCCGCTTGTTTGTACTGCTTCATCCGGCCTTCCTTTGCTTCGTACGATCCCTCCACCTGGCCCACTACCAGTTTGGAGTCGCACTTGATTCTGAGGTGCTTGGCCTTGAGGCCGGCGGCGAGTCTGAGACCGCTGAGGAGGGCCTCATACTCGGCTTCGTTGTTGGATACCCTGAAGTTGAAGCGGATGGCATAGTAGGCTCTGAATCCTTCAGGGGATATGAGGACGACGCCGCCGCCGCATGATTTCGCGGCCGACGAGCCGTCAGTGAACAGGGTCCACGTGTCGTCCGGCTCCGGCCCGGGGTTGGCGACGGCCGTCTCCCTTGTTGTGCATTCGATGACGAAGTCGGCCAAGGCTTGCCCTTTGATAGATGGCCTTGGCTTGATCTCAATCTGAAACTGGCTGAGGAAGATCGCCCATTTCACCATCCTCGAGGAGCTAGTGGGGCTCCTCATGAGCGCGCCGAGAGGCTGCTGGGTCAGCACATGGACGGTGTGGGCTTGGAAATAGTGCCCCAGCTTCTTCACGGTGTGGACGATGGCCAACACCGTCTTCTCAATGGGGGAGTACCTGAGCTCGGCCTCCCTAAGTGTCTTGCTGATGTAGAAGATGGCCTTCTGCACCCCTTCGTCCTCACGGATGAGCACGGAGCTGATGGCCGACGTGCTCACCCCTAAGTACAGGAAGAGGGTTTCGCCGGCTTTGGGCTTGGAGAGTACGGGTGGGGACGACAGGTACCTTTTCAATTCGTCGAATGCTTCCTGGCACTCCGTCGTCCACTTGAAGCTGTTTGCCTTGCGCATGATCTGGAAGAAGGGGAGTGCCCTCTCCGCTGACCTGGAGAGGAACCGGTTTAAGGCCGCCAGGCGCCCCGTCAGTCGCTGTACCTCCTTGACGTTGCGGGGCGGCTCCATGTTGATGATAACCTGCGTCTTCTCCGGGTTTATCTCGATGCCTCTCCGGCTGACCATGTAGCCAAGGAACTTGCCGCCCTGGACGCCGAAGGCGCACTTCTTGGGGTTAAGGCGGAGCCTGAACTCCTTCATGATTTCAAAGATTTCCCGGAGGTCGTCGGCGTGGGAGGTGGCCTGCCTGCTCTTGACGATCATGTCGTCGACGTACGTCTCCATCGTCCGGCCAAGGACCGCTCTGAAGATTTTGGCCACCATCCTAGTATAGGTGGCGCCGGAGTTTTTGAGTCCGAAGGCCATGACTAGGTAGCAAAATATTCCCTC